AGATGATAAAAAATCCCAGGCGCATTAACCCAAAAGGTATCGGGCTCATATATATATATATATATATAGCATTAGCAGGCAGTATTGGTTGTTTCCTGGGTGTGGGGGTTGTGTTAGCAGATCATGGGGTTTCGCAAAGTGGGACCTGGTAAGCTCCCCTCTGTGCATATCTGTGGCTGTTTGCGAGGCCTTGTGTATGTCATTACATGTTGCATGTAGACTTGCGCACATGGACGTGTTTGGGGCATGCGGGACCATATGCGCACCCACAGTCACCTGCGTGAGTGTGTTATTGTTTGCGCGGGACCATATGCGCACCCATAGTCACCTGCGTGAGTGTGTTATTGTTTGCCACTCTTTTGTCATTTCTATTCTAGCTATTAGCAATTATGAGTAGCACTCAGATGAGTACCGCTTGAATTTTCACAGTCTCAATGCTGTCCTGATTTACTGGCATTTCTTTTCCGATTAGCGTTGGTGTCATAGCCCTTAAAACCTAAACCCTAAACCTCTAAACCTCTACACCCCTAAGCCCCTAAACCCTAAACCCTAAACCCCTAAAACCTAAACCCTCAAAACCTAAACCCTGTACCCATTGATCGTGCTGATAACGTCCAGGGTGGCTTTGCCGCCGCCGGGAGCTCGGAGGTGAAAAATAGCCACTCTTCAAGCTATTGTTATTATAAGTATTACTGTTGTTATTATTACTATTAGTATTTTCTATTCTTATTCTTTTTGTATTTTCTATAGATTTTAGGATTTAGGGTTTTGCAACTTAAGACTCTTCAAGCTATTGTTATTATAATTATTGTTGATATTATCACTATGATTATTGCGATTTTTGTTCTTATGTTGTTTTATCTATTTTAGGATTTAGGGTTTTGCAACTTTTCATGTTTCTTGTAATTAGGATTTAGCGTTTTGCAATCTAGTATTGTTATTTTAGGATTTAAAGGTTTTGCAACTAGGGTTTAGGGTTTTGCAGCTGGAGGCTCGCCAGAGAGTCCTTGTTGAAAACAACTACTGTAGGGTTTTGGGTTGACCTCCTCCTAATAATTGACCCCAGCCCGCCAATACAGTACCGCTATATACTGGGGACATTCTATCAGCAAGGGGGGTTGGGGGGACTAAATTAGCCCTAACAGTTAAATCCTTAAACCGCATTACAGGCATAATTCCACTGACTTCATTGATCTCAGGGACCGGAAGCCGCCAAGGATCGAACCTGAAACTTTCAAAATGCAGCAGAGGGGGAAAGTAGCAAGGGGTGGTTAGTACTGTAGGGCCTGGTAGGGAATACGGGAGTAAAATGCATATATATATATATAATCCCCACAATATATGTTCCCTATATTCCCTACTAACCACCAGGTAAGCTGAGGGGTTTTGGGTTTCGAGTCCGTCCAAAGGTCGATTTACAGCGAGAACGTCGCGCCCTACCTGAGCTTCAACGGCCACTCGCCTAGAGCACGGTCAGCTCCATTCGAGTAGATTTTGTTTTGAGATACTATGGTACCCATTAGGGTAAGATTATATCCTCCTTTTGGGGTATAGTATTTTATATATTGAATATTATCTTACTAGGTTCAACCACCAAAAAAACATTACTAATTTGAGGCTTAGGGTTTAGGGTTTGAAGGTTTTACAGAAGCCAGTGGCAGATTCCTGTGCCACTGCTTGTGACATTGCTAGGAGCATCTGTGTTTCTACCTGTGTCAAAGGTTTAACGACAGCCCCCGTGCTGTCCCCTCCACACATCCCATTCTGGACCCTAAAGCCTAAATAACCCTAAACCCCAAACCCCAAACCTAAACCCTAAACCAACTCTATGTGCAGGACCCGTCCCAGACCAGCTCTACGTAATTGGCGGCAGGGACAGCAATCAGGACGGGGTGTTGCAAATGTCTTGCAGCATTCCCTGGCAATTGGACGTGAATTGGGGAGATGATAACCAAAATAGTAGTTTCTATGGTCCTTTCCATTATCCCTGTATAACCCCTACATACTATAGTAGTTTCCATGCCCTTTTAGCCCTTGCTGAGCTTTAGCACGAAGATGGGTCCATTCGGGATGTCAAGGATGATTCCATGGCATGCGCGGCGCTGTTGTCAAAGACCTTATGGTTCGAATGATAGAGTTGCAGACTCAGCAAAGCCCAGAGCGGAAACTTGCGGACTCAAACCCTCATCTCCAACCCTGCAACCCGTTGTGCTTTGCGTATGTTGAAGCCCTGGAAATGCGCATTTGCTGCGCTGCAGGAGCCTCTTAATGTCGTTGAGATGTTCGATTCATGGAATGGCAGGTGCAATGCCATGTAGTCAAGACAAAATTAGGGCTGCTGAAGTCGTGCTCATTTAAGGTATGCACATGCGTGGTTGGATGTTACCCTGGTTGGCATAGTATAGACAGGCAATGGCCCTGCAACCTCACAATGTAGGATATGAGAACAATGCATTTGGTTGCTCAGCCACGATGGCTTGGCATTTGCAGGTATTGTGCTGACCTGGGCAAAGATCTGGATGCAAGCGTACAGCAAAGGCAGATGTAAAGATTGCGATTTCTTTGCTAGAGTTCATCTGGGTGCTAGATCACGTGAACCTAGCGGGGTGATATTGAACCATCTGCTTAGCTCTATTCTAATTGCTCCTGCCCCTCACTTTTCTGTAATTCGACAGTCTGCCAGAGGATAATCCGCTGATAACTTGAATACCATCCCCACGATGACAAAACAATTCAACCTCCTAACGACAACCAACAGAAAAGGTACTGTATATAGCTTAATGATTATGGGGAAGATCGATCATGAGCTCCGAGCTTAAAGCCAGGTGGATTACTTGCCCACCCATGCTGGCGAGACGAGCAGGTGGTCTAGGGTCTTTGGTTCCGGGGTGTTCAAGGTCTTAGGATGGAAGGGCAAGAATGCAGTACTATGGAAAGATGTAGCGAGTACTACCATACAAATACTGCGGGCTACGAGGTACAGTTGTCGCATGACGGCTACATGCATATAACACGTTTGGTGGTCCTCGTTGTGAGCCGACGAGCACTGGTAGTGGTAGCACAGAGTAGCACAGAGAGGTGGTGGTTGTTGCAAAAGTATACTGGCAGCAGAACCGGTTCCGGCACCATTGACAGGTTGCGCAGCAGCGCCCTTGCCAAGCGGCTGCTTCTTCGTATGCGGAGGCTCCTCCTAAGACAGAAGAGCTACCAAAATTTGCTGCATCCGAATGGATGTACTTAAGCAAGTCGGCCTGACTGTGATGTTGTCTAGAACTTGCTAGAGTCGCTAAAGCAGATGGGGGGCATGCTGATGATTTCGAATTCGATGTGTGGCTGTAGATCGGGACACTCCATCCTCTGTTTTTAGACATGAAGTGACTATTATTATATAGTACGATTACAACCAATATTACTATCTTCTACTAGTTATCCTGCCATTAAATCTACTATTTACTATTTCTACTATTACTATTTGGGCGCACGCCACCAGGCTACGATGAGCAGGGCATTGTGCGCGGCGTGCTGGATAGCTGCGAGGCCGACCAATCCGGGGGCGTCGCTGCACTTTTGGGGGCTTAGGGGTTTAGGATGTAATAGGGGTTTAGGGTTTGAGGGTTTAATAGGGGTTTAGGGTTTGGTTAGGGTGTAGGGCTGAGAGTTTGGGAGGGTTTTAGGGTTTGATTAGGGTTTCGGGCTCAGTTTTGTAGGAGTGTATAAGTTTGATTTGGTGGGGCATGTCCATATTTGCCCTACAGTAACCAGAGGCAAGCAATGCCAGTGATGGCAGTGATGGTGTCAGTGCCCTAAACCCTAAGCCCTATTCCCTAACCACGCTCTATACCCCTAAACCCTAAGCCGTATACCCTTACCCCTAAACCCTAGTGGCCCTAAACCCTATCCTATACCCTAAACCTTAGTCCCTAAAAACCCTAAACCCCCCAACCCCCCTAAAATCCCAGCGCCCCCAAGCCCTATACCTTAATCCCTAAAACCTAAACCCCCCTAACCCGTGTCCTGGTGCGCAAGTACACGCATTCTGTTGGCACCCAAACCGATGCCTGAATGTTCTTCAAGCCCCTTGCAGTCATGCAGACGTAAAAGTCCGTGGGGTAAAAAAAAACCCTAAACTCCCTCCATGAGCCAGTGGTGGTGTCAGTGGCCTGGGAGGTCTTTGATCCAGTGAGTCAGGAGTGGAGCGACACAGGTGCAGCCGCTCTCTTAGCCAGCGCGGGGTTTAGGGTTTCAGAGGTTTAGGTGTTTAGGGTTTTCAGGGATTTAGGGTTTAGGGGTTAGGGTTCAGCAAGGGTTTAGGGTAATGTTAAGGGTTGGAAATATTATCTCCCCGAAGGTATCCATCCATTTGGAACCGTATTTTGCCTGAAATTTGGGGTCCTTAAACCCTGAGGGAGGGGGGTGCATTTGGGAGGATGGTATTTTACTTCCTTACTAGGCCGGAGTGGAGAATAGAATCCTGGAACCCTTGAGAAAGCACACTGAGATGTCCAAAATACCGGGCAATAGGAGAGGTGGAATTTTACAGACACAAGTTTGAATCCCCTCTCCCTAATATTGAACACACCCCCATAGTATTCATACTCCCAAAATTTAAAAATATACCACAACGGGAAGAACTTGATATTGGGGGGGGGGGTTGGGGGGTTGATATCAAGGGGAGGGAATTAAGCAGAAACCTTCAACTCAAAGAGCTCATCATAGCCGCTCAACTCGTTGTGTGCTGCAGTTACTGCCGCAAGCTGAGTTTCTTTGCTAAGGCCTTGTTGCGCGCACGGTGGGGCCACGGCGCACCTGCCATGTGAACTCTGGCTACGGCGATCGCTATGGCTGTACGTAAAGACGTTTTATCTTATTGGTTCTTAGTAGGGAATAGAATCCCTATGTACTCCCTATAGAATATAATGCCATAATGGATACGAAGAACCAGCATTTTTCGTTGTTTGTCTTGCGGTGTCTGCCTTGAGCTCAAGAAGAAAACATAATCTCTTTCTGATCCGGTGGGACGTACTACCATCACCGTAGGAATTTGTATTGTTGGATGGCCATCCTGCTGTATAGTGTATTCAACAAAGACTTACTAGTATGCCAGAAGTGCGAAGATACATTAGGTACATGAACCCAAAACCCTAATCCCTAAACCTTTAACCGCGTCAAGTATCAGCAGTACTGGGAAATGGCAAGTAATTAAAAAAAAAGGATTGGACCACATGCAAGTAAGTTTTTAAAAAAAAGGAACTGGAAAAATGGCAGGCTGTTCAGTGCTGGGCTCCTCCGTCATCGCTGCAGCTGTCCCAGCAGAGAGAGTCTCTAAAAGATGGATACGGGGGGGGGGGGGGTTCCCAAAATTAAGGTTTTTAGGGATTCGGGATTAGTGTTTAGGGTGTGGGGTTCAGGGTTTCCAAAATTACGGGCACCTTTCTGGGGATCCCTCTAGTAAGGATTCTGGGTTCCCCACTACCATATCATTCCCAAACATGGAGAATCAAATGGACAAGAAAATGATAGTGTGTTTATAGGGTCTGTGTAGGGTTTCATTGGTATGGACCCCACGAAGGAATCCCCTCTGCCAGGGTAGACTTTTGTAAGGTTGGAAAAAGGAAGAGTCATGGATTCCCTTACTACCCCTCTCTATACTAAGTACCCTTAAATACCCTTAATCAAGGGGGCAACCCAGGGGGGGTAGATAGAGGGGGGTAGTAGGGGAAACGTATGCTTAGATGAAGGCCGGTGGTACGCGGGTTTAAGGTATAGGGGTTTAGGGTTTTGGGGGGTTTAGGGTTTTATCCATGATAGGGGAGTCTCTTTGGAAGATTGTGAAATGCGCCAGCAGTGATCCTAAGCCAAGCCTGCACGCGCTTTCACAACAAGCCGTATGTAGCTCAGCGACGTAGATCAGTTTCTGAGATCCTTGTCATCAAGCCCCTGTCAGGCATCCCCACATATGAGCTATAGCCTTAGCTACAAGGGGACTACGATAGGGGTTATTAAGGGGAATACTAGCAGTTTAGACTATAGTACATATGACAGGAAGTGGATCATGGCAGAGTAATTGGCGGTATGACTATGATTGGCACCCGAGAAAGATGCTAGGATGAACTGGAGTCTACTGGGTCTGCTTTTTCAAATTTCCAAAAGCAGCTTTCAAGCAAACTTCCTGGGTCCTGGAACACACAACCTGATGGGTTCGTGGTTACCTCCATTTCCCTCAGGTGGGGGGATGTGCCCTCCTCGCCGGCTCCCTCATTGCCGAGGAGCAGAAATCTGAAAAAGCTTGTAGGATTGGACTACACTCCCCCAAACTAACATGGAAACCCATATAGTCCCCTTTTAGAAGGGCGGTAGTCTTTATAGGGCCCTTTTTGGGTTTCCATGTTTAGTTTCCGGGAGTGTATATGTTTCCATCATGGGAGTTGGGCCGTTGTAGGCTGCAATATGGATTTTGCGCGGGCATCATGATAATGGTTTGCAATATGCTAAGCAGTTAGTCGGTTCTTTAGCATGGAGAACATGTCCCGCTTTTTGACAAAGGTGCCGAGAGAGGGATACCCAAATGTTGAACGTCCCTTGCGTGTCTAGACCACCAAGTGAGGTCTTTACCAACAAGCCCTAATCTCTAGACTCTAGACCCTAAGCCACAAACCCTAGACCCTAAGCCCCGAGCCCTGAACCCTAAAGTGGGTTTCAAGTTCCTGCAATGCTCGGAGAAGATTTTGTTCCCCATAATCCCTGTATAAACCCTATAGTACCTATAGTTTCCATTCATTTTCCATAATCCCAATATAACCCTTACCCCAAAGCCCCTGGAACCTTGCACCTTGCAGGAGTTGATGGAGACCTTGCGCAGTTGCGAGGCGATGGTTCCGGCCTCCTCGGGCTTGGGGATTAGGGTTTAGGGTTTAGGGATTAGGGATTAGGGTTTAGGGTTTCAGGGTCTAGGGTTTAGTTGCAAAAGCAGTTTTGGATTTGGGGTTTAGAGTAGAATTCTGGGACGAATGACAAACCAGCATGAACAACGAGCATGAGTCATGAGGAGCAACATGGCAATTAGAAAGAGGATGATAAGATCAGGATGAAAGATGAGCGAGAAGTAATGTCAAGAACTCGGCGGCAAAAGCGGCCAAAGCAGCAGCAGACTCCATTGCAGTCAGGGAGGACAGAAGAGGAGTCTAGGTCCTTGAATCTGATGTAAAATGGAAGTATGAAGTGTGTGCTGCAGCTTTAGCATTACTTCTTCCGCGGGATCGCGGTATTCGTCCTGATTTCCATGCTCGTGCATGGCTCTACTGTTTCATGACTGTTGCTGTGGTTGCCATTGCGATGCTTCTCGAGCCTCTTGCGGATTTTGCATGTCACCTTACAAGTGGAGGCAGGCAGACTGTCCACCCTAAGCCCTTAAACCCCAAACTCCACCAACCACCTGATTCAAGCGCCTTGGCTGCCAGACTGTTTTGAAGTGCATGAGGCGAAGTGGGGAGACTGCAGGCTAGGGTTTACGGTTCTAACTTCTTACAAGTCATTGATTGAGTTACTGCATAACGACCCAGAAGCGTGGTGCAACGATGGGCCTCAAAACCAGCATCAGTTCTACCAGAAGTGTTCTTCTAGACTCCAAAAGATCTTTTCAACTTGGGCAAATGCTTTTCATTGGCAGTTATCCACCCTCATGAACTACAGAAGTCCCAAGGGTCCCTCCTAGCGCCCCTAGACCCTAATCCCTAAACCCTGAACCCCAATCCCCAACCCCTGAACCCTATAAACCTTAAACCCTGATCCCTTAACCTTAAACCCTTATCCCAGAACCCTAATCCCCCAAACCCTCATCCCTAAACCTTAAACCCAAAATTGGAGGCCTACGACTCCCTCACCAACCAGTGGCGACCCGCTCCTAGCCTCAATGTGGCCCGCGCAGGAGCGAGGCGCGTGACGTCCGATGCTTTTAGGGTTTAAGGCTTAGGGGTCTGGGGTTGAGGGGTTTAGGGGTGTAGGGTGTGTGCGAGCCCATATGAAAAAAGGGTTTCAGGTTTAGAGTTCAAGGTTTAGGGTTTAAGGTCTGGGGGTCTGGGTCTAGGATTTAGGGTTCAAGGTCTATAGGGTTTAGAGTTTAGGCGCTTGACTTACCTCTTAAGTTAGCGGGGAATGAAGGAATGGCTGACTCCTTAAGCTAGGGTTTAGTAAGTTTAGGGAAGATGTGGAGGTTCCTGATATCAATGTTTCGATTCTATGCTGATCCACGCTCCCAAAGTGCAGAGACAATCTTTCTGCGAGCCCAAAATGTGAAGAACTCATCATGCGTGGGATTTCGACATTACAGACTTTCGCGGCACTGCATGGTACAGTAGATAGTACGTAATTGCGCCGAACAGCCTTAACAGCCTTACTTCCCCAAACCCTAAATTCTAATCTGAACCATAATCCGTAAACCCTAAACCCTAAGCCCAAAGCCCTGAACCCCTAAGCCCTAACCCCCTAAACCCCTAAACCCCTCAAACCCTAAGCCCTAAACACTAAACCCCCGTCCCAGGGTGGTGACCATTGCGGGCGGGAAGCTGGCGGCCGTTGGTGGCTGTGACGACGTGTTTGGCCGCGCGGAGCACGGAGCTGAGATTCTTTGGAGTTTATGGTGTAGAGTTTACAGTCCCCCGTAAGTAGATAGAATTTGGGGTATATGGGGATCTTATTATCATATAAGCCATATTCTATCGACTGAAGGGGGACTATAGCCCTAAACTCTAAACCCGAAACCCTAAACTTTCGGGTTTAGAGTCTAGGGTTTAAGGTTTTGGCTTAGGGTTCAAGGTTTAGGATTCCTTTGTTCGTGTTGGACTCATGCAAGTTTTTGTGATGTAATCCCTCCCCCCTCTGGTAGTACAGAAATGTGCCTAACATACTAAATTAAGTATACTTTGGGTCATTCCCCCTCGTAGTAACTGTCCTAAAAGGGGCTTTATTAAGGGGGCTGTTATAACTCCTAGAACCCATTGTGGTAACAATTACTGTAAGGGGGAATGACCCCAAGTATACTGCAAGGGGAAGATTTTGTGGTTGGCGGGTGGGCGGGTTGAAATGAGGAGGAGGGATGAATTGTTCCTGCCATCCAGGCTTCTAGGGGATGCCGTGAGATCACCAGAGCCCCCTAAGCCCTGCATTTCCCCTATAACCTCCTTGAAGCTTACTTAGGCCCAAACGGTAGCCGAAGACCTTCCTGGGCCCTAAACCCTAAACCACGTGAGAAGAGACGAGCGCCCAAGCAGATGTTTGGTGCCCAGGATGTTGGCCACCGTGGAGATCTTGAATCAGGGGACGCCTGGCAACATGTTACACTGTTTGGGAGTTAGCGCTTAGGGTTCAGGGATAAATACGATGACCTCAACAAGCCTGCAGCAAAAAGGGTTCAATTACGATGAAACGCAGAGTACTGCACACATCGCTGGTTGTATGTTGTTTTAGACTTGCTGGAGGGCAAGCGATGCGACAGGAGCGATCACTGGGACCTGCTGGACACGCAGTTAGGCGTGCCCAGGACAGCTTCATGTGTCCTTGCAGTGCCAGCATGTGTGGATGGGCCAGCCACGAATGATGGCAGGACGACAGCCGCGGCCGTGGCATTGGATGCAGAGAGGATTCTAGCAGCCCGGCCAAAAACTGGGCTTCATAGGGGTGGTTGTCAAAATTATGATCCCACTTTGAGTACCCTAAATATTAGGTGCCGTATTATAATAGGGATCCAACAAGGGACCATAATTTTGACAACCACCCATCACGACATGACCAAAGCCCGGCATGCTTACGATGATGCGATCTGTCCACTCGAGGTAATGGGAGGTGCACCGTCGCTGTCCTCGGCGGAGGCCCGACGCCTGTTGGGGGAGACAGGGCAGAATCAGAGTTGGCCCATGATATCCCCTATAGTAGTCACCTATGTAATCCATTATATACCCCCCTAAACCCTAAAGCCTAAACCCTAAATCAAGGCTGGACTGAGGACAAAAGGTCCCATAAACAAAAAAACTCAACCCTACATCCTAAACTGGCGAGTACATGCGCGCTCGAGCCGCACGCACCCAAGACCCCCGTCCGAGCGTCTTGACAGATACAGTGAGGGAGGGTAAAAACTCCCAGTAGACGGTGGCAGGCTTGCCAGGCCGCTGGCTTTTCAAGGGCTCCCTGGCCCCCTCGGGTGGGGTCCGAAGCGTTGGGAAGGTTTTTCCAGGCTTTTGCAGGGCCTTTCAAGGACCTCCCAAGAGCCTTCATTGGATCTTTCAGGGGCCTTCAGGGCTTTTTTCAGTTTCAGGGGCCCCTCAGTTTTGAAGACCTTTTCAGGGCCCTTACTGGCTTGCCGGGCTTTTCAAGGCAAGGGCTTCCGAGGCCTCTCAGCTTTTCTTGGGCTTTCAAGGGCTTTGCCGCTTTCGTCAATGCGCGGCGACACATCGCTCCTACCATCCTGCGAGCCAAGAGGTCTCATTGACTTTGGCGGCGTGCAGCAGCACGTTGCCCACGCCTCCCTGCGAGACAGAAATGCAGCATGCTACTCGCGTTTCACGCCTCTCAGCGTACATTGTCCACAATGGTAACTTCAGCGGCATGCCGCGGCACACTACCCACACCACCGTGCAGAGCCGAATAAGCTTTTATTTTTGCTGGCGTGCGGCCGCACACTACCCATGCCTCTGCGCAGAGCTACAAATTCGGTTTGATCGACACCGCGTGCACCAAGCGAGCGGCGCCAGGCCGCGAGCCCTTGGCAGGCCTCCTGCTCTCGCTTCTGTCAAGATGTTTAATTGAGCGGCGCCTCTAAATCCATAAAAACAGGCAAGTAAGTTTTTCTTGCTAGGGGGGTTTGGGGGTAGGAACCCTAAACCCTAATTGAGAAGAGTTTGGGTGGTTGGGGCGGGATGATAGAGCTACGCTAGCGCGCGATAGTGTGCGCGCTCCCCAACTTGAAAGGAAAGGCGCACACACCGCGCGCACACGGTTACACACCC